AAAAAAAAAAAAAAAAAAAAAGAAAAGAAGAAGAAGAAGAAGAAGAAGAAGCAGCAGCAGCAGGAGGGATGGACTTAATTCTAAGCCCCACATACATATTTAAAACCAATAATTATATATATAAAACATTAATCAGATAAAATAATTTATATTGTTCTATTTGTATCTAATGTGATCAATTATATAATTAAATAATTTGAAAATGATTGATTCAGAAATTATACGTCTTTATATATTTTTGCCTCACTCACATGTGCCCAAAACATTTGATGATAATTTTATAACAACCCAAGTAAATTGTGGATATTGGGATATTGTTTATTAACGAATTATCAGGCTTCTCTGCAGTAGAGTTTTTTGCAATAATCTTATTGTGATAATCTAATTGCCTATATTTAAATTTAAAACAAAGTTATAGTATCGTTTTAGATGGTGTTGTTTTAATGTCAATTTATTTCATCTTCAATTTGGACCGTTAAATTATGTGCTTTCTATATACACCATTGTTATACATTTTTGTAGTACATGACATTTTTTTATGATAAATATTACTTATTTTTCTGATAAAATTATAAAAATTTATTATTTAAAAATAAAATTATATATTTTGTGATAAAATCACACATTTTTATGATAAACATTGCACATATTTTTATCCAAACGTTTATCTTGCATTGTGCAATCCTATCCTTTTCAATATCCTCCTGTAGAAAACATGGTAGCTGGTTTATTATAAAAAATAATAATAATAAAAAAAAAATTACTCATAATATAAAATTTACTGTTAAGAATCAATCATGAAATAGATTTACAACAAGATGATTAGATCTACACCGTTAATCTGAATTATGGGTCAATTCCTTAATTATTATTTTTTTCTGGTTCCATCGACTTTCCCTTGTAGAAATGTTTGGTGGTGAATACAAAGGCTTGAGAACAAGTCAGGTGACTTAATAGTAGTTGGTTAGCGAATTTTTCATATTAACCTGTTAAGAATAAGATTTTGAAGAGGAAAAGTAGTAGATTATTAGTAGATTATTACGTCATAATAGTGTTGCTCTTAACCATTTTACATAGAGTGTTCTTCTTAAGGTTATGTTTAATAATTGGTATATATATATTTTTAGGGACATTTACACACAAGTCCAAATTTTTTAAAAAAAAAATTGCTATTATTGTGCTATTATTGAAAAAATTGAATTATTTTTTTGTATGAAACTAAAAATTTTGTATCTATAAAGGAGCATGATGATGGAACATTAATGTGCAAAGCTAAATTTAAAAAAAAAACTTTAAAAATGAAAAAATTGATAATGTTCTCAGTTTTAAAATTGAAAAAAATTAATAATATTCTTGATTTTATTAGATAGTTGAATCAAACCAATAAGTAGAAGGATAAAAACGTTTAATCTCATGCTCTATTTTTTTCATCAGTTAGTGAAACAATTATCTGGAACATTGCTATGCAAAATTGATAATGTTCTTAGTTTTAGATATTAAGAAAAACTGATAATATTCTTAGTTTTACCAAATAAGACTTATTGATTCAAAAAATCTTAAATAGGACATGAACTATTATATCACTCATAAGTAAGACTTTTATGTAATTAACTCTATTTTTTATGTTATTGAGAATTGATAAAATCATGATATTAAGATCAATATAATATTGTTTGATATGAAATGTCTGATTGGCTTTTATCACTTTCAAAAGTTAGAAAAGTAATTCTAAAGCGTGCTAATAGGAATTGAAAAGTATTTAACTAAGCTAAATAATCATCAAATGAGCGTGTAAAGGTTCATTTTGTCCTTGTAGATTTAAATAAGCCGAACAATTATCAATTGAGTGTGTAGAGGTTCATTGTGTACCATGTTCAAATATATATATATTTTTTTCTTGGGCCTTAAAGCCCAACTCGCAGCTCGGCCCAGTTTTTCCCAAAAATTACCCTCTCATATATATATTTTTCTTTTTAGCTCAATGACAAGGATTTTAACAGTAAAAGTCAAGCTTGAGAACCAAATGTGATGAAATATAAGAAGAAAGAAAGAAATACTAAAGAGAAAATAATAATTAATTAACTGAATAACAAAATTATAAGTTAAAAATACAGTACCTTGTTACTCCTATTGTTTCAAAATTAAAATGGAAGTACGTAGTGTGTCAAAAATGAAAGTACAAAAAAAAAATTAAAAAAAAAAATTTAAGACCATGGCCACTCATATTGAAATAAAATAAAGTGTTAAAAAAAATATTGAAATAAAATAAAATAAAAAAATGAAGTACTAGGGTTTTATTTGTATGGGGACCTTCTCCTCTTTCCTTTTGCCATAGCCTACAATTGTCTCCTACATTCTCCACTTCTTCCTGAATGTTACATTTTTTCCCTCCTTAATTTAAATTTGAATTTTGCTAAAAACCATTCAAATGTTAAACTGCTCCTTGCCACCTCAACCTGTTTCAGTGCCACGTTGTCCTTTTATGCTTCTTCTATGTATGTTTCAGCATGTCCCAAGTCTTTTTCATTGTGGGCAGTCACATGTCCTGTTCCGCTAACATATATATATATATATATATACATATCTATAACATATATAAAAAGAACGTAAGAGTGGTGTAACATGGTGTAACGTTGGGCTTCTCAGTGTAGTTCTGTTGCTTCTTTGGTTTGTAAAGCTTTTCTTGCAAATATTTTCCATGATGCTGTTTGCGTCATTTCCAACTCTTTCCTCACAGATTTTGGGCTGGGCACGTGGGTTCCTAGAACTTCCCATTTGAGTTGGGCAAATGCTGAAGTGTCTTCACAAGGTGTAGCGCCGAAGCGGTGCTTTTTGTTTGCTTGTTTGGCTAATCTCACCATTGGTTGCCTTCACATTTGTTTGTACTGGTGTGGATTTCAGTGGCTTCTACAAGCTTCCTCTGTTCGGTGTACCTCGATTTTATAATCTTGGAGCACCTCTTTGTAGAAGAATTGGTTGGGCAACATTTAAAATTCGCACCACCATCTTCTTGCTCTATCTGTTGCCGATATTCCTTCTCATTGTTTGTTTTCTACTGAGATGTTCATGCCTAATTTGTACGTGTTTTCGTGCTTGTTAATGTGTGGAGAAATTATGCATACCAATTGTTTGACAATATGCCTGGCTAAAATAACCCTTAAATTCTTTTCATGGCAAAGCCTTTTCCTATGATTGCAACAAAATTTCAAGGAAAAGGCCTGATTTATTTCATACAATTTGGTTTGTTTCAATTAATTTTTCCAATTCATTTGTTCTTGGGTAGATAGAGTTTGTAATGTGTCTTGATATTTGGTTTTTCTACAGATAAGAAATGATCGAGAAGCGCTTCGCAAGTGGCCAAGTCAAAGAGCTCATCGAAGAGGCACAGGACAAGCTCAAACTCATCTCTAAGACGTTCCATATGTATATTTCAATACTCTCTGTCTTCATTTGCTTTCTCTTTACTTTTGAATACGTTGGTATCATTACAAGCAGAACCAATATCGAATATTGGGCTTCAAATTTTATGCAAGTGTTCAAGAGAATAGGATTTGAATCCTCTAATTGTAGATTAGGTTGTTCTTCGTGTCAAAGGGAAAAGCAATTTTAAAGTTCTGTAAAAAAAAAGTTAGTTGGAAGATTTTTTCATATGTATCTCTTTCTACAATTGTTGGATTCTCGATTTGTTCTTTTGTTTGATTTTGGTAAATTATGAATCATGTTGGTTAGAATTTTGTATTTAAAAAAAAAAAAATGGTTTATTTTGTAATGGGTTTACTGTAAGTTGATTTGTTTCTTTCCTGGTAGGCGACCGTAGGGTTGATTTATTGGGTTGTTGTATTGTTAATTTTTTTTGATTCAATGCTATGTCTTATGATGAGTTGTCATGGAATTTCCTTGAATTCTATGAGGCCTTGTATGTTTAATCACTGATTTCAGGTACATGGTTTCAGTAGGAAAATTTTGTGATCAGAATCTGGTGATATCCTCTATTTTTACTTACTTCGAATAGATTGTATGGTCAACCACTTTTTTGGTTGCCAAACTAACCGTGGAAAAGAGATGCAAATAAAAATTAAAAACAATGAGCCTAATTGTTGCATCTAACCATGTAGAGTGTAGGCTTTTATTTTCTGTGCTTTCAAACAATAGAACCTAAACTCCAAGGGGTTAGCCATTTGATGAGTTGATTTGTGATATGTGCCTTAGCAAGCATAGGTCACGAGTTCAAATCTCATGAAATATCTAACCAATAATTATGCTGTATGTATTAGATGGCAGAACTGCATGTATTTGGGGAGTAGTTGGGGCAGAGCTCCGGATATCTTTGTTATCAAAAAATTATAAAAAATGATAGAAAACCTATCACTCTCAGCACCAAAATTAGCATTTGCAGAATATAAGATGAACTGCAAATCAACTGTTCTATGGATTTTGGTTTATTGGTTTTATTATTGAGTGAGTTGATTTTTAAACACAAAATTAAATTGTGTCTCTTCAAGAATCGAATCAACTCAATCCACAAAAATCTATTAGTTTAGTTTACGAGTTTTTCATCTAATTTTCCAACCCTATATATATTCTAAATACAGTATTGATACAGAGCCCGATGTTTGGTTTACAAAATTAGGGAGGAGGAGGAGCTACACAGAAATTAACAACCAACGATGCCTTAACCTACCTCAAGGAAGTTAAAGACATGTTTCAAGATCAAAGGGAAAAATATGACATGTTCCTTGATGTCATGAAAGATTTTAAGGCTCAAAGGTACATAGTTTTCTCTTCATCTGTTTATCACGTGGCAAATGGGTCAGCACTAAATATTTCATCAAATTCATTTAATGGACTTAATTTTTTCAGAATCGACACTACTGGTGTCATAGCGAGGGTGAAAGAACTATTCAAAGGGCACAACAATCTAATCTTTGGGTTCAACACCTTCTTGTCAAAGGGTTATGAAATTACCCTCATTGATGAGGAAGAGCCCCCGACAAAGAGAACTGTTGAGTTTGAAGAAGCTATAAGTTTTGTAAACAAGATAAAGGTGAAACTCTTTTTGAATTGTTTATGTTGAGCCACTGATTTTAATTTATGGGGTCTGATTAATGGACTTTCTCTCTACAGAAACGTTTCCAAAATGATGATCATGTATATAAATCATTTCTTGAGATCTTGAATATGTACAAAAAGGAGCATAAGGGCATTACTGAGGTCTACCATGAGGTAAAATTGTAGTATCTTTTATTTTTAACTTAAATGACATAAATTGTTTTATATTTGACCATCCGTTGGTGTGTGGATAATTTTGTTATACTGATTTTTATAGTTTTAGAGATTATTTTCCATTGCTTTGTAGGTTGCTGTACTTTTTTCAGACCACTCAGATTTGTTTGATGAGTTCACAAGATTTTTGCTCGATACTTCAGCTATAACATCAGCTCCACATGTTCCACTTGGCCGACATTCTTTTCATCGCAATAATGCGAAGAGTTCTGCTATGACCACATCACGGCATGTACCTGCGAACAAGGTAAATTCTTGTTTCCTTTCATGGTTTCTTTAATTGTGATAACTTCTACCCAAATTTTACTGCAAATGAAGTTGGGTTTCCTCCTCCCCTTAACTCTCTGTGTACTCTGAATCTTGTATAATAGCCTAATATAAGAGATGGAAAATCCTGAAAAGGAAGAACCAGACAAAAACCATAGAGATTTAGTCAGCATAACTAAATTTAAAAAATAAAATGCTATTCACTGTTTAGCGGGCGAATGTTAGTGTTAATGTAACTATAAAAAAATATATTAAAAAAATGTTAAATATACAAAAATGTTTCGAAATATATATAAAATGTGTATTAAAATTATAATTATTTTGAAATTATCTTTATTTTAACGAAAACACGGTAAGACTAACAATCATTAGCATGACCAAGAAAGCTAAAACAGAGAAGATTACTAACCTGATTTTGACTATTTCAGACAACCAAACACGCTCTTGATTTTTCATTACATAGAACTTGAATTAAACAAGATTGAATATATTCTTATTTTCTTTTAGTGATATTTCTCAGGAAATGTAAAATTTTATTGTATATTGATGCTTATACTTATTTAGTTTATCAATCTCAATTATGCATTTGTTTCTTGATGATCATTTTATGCATTTCTTTGTTAATTTGTTTGTTTTCTTAAGGCCAAAAAAAGTTCTAGTTATCCTCAATTTAAAAATCTAATGCGTCCCTTTATGTTTTTACCAAAGCAATTTGTACGTATATTTCTTTATATATATGAGATTTAAACAATTTTTCTCTAAAGTAGGAAATTTTGCCTAACTATATTTTAGTTCAGAACGTTTTTCCAAACTGGTAGGCTGGTAGTGTATAAATTGTTTTTGTTGAATTGAATCATTAAAATAGGTTTAAAAAATATTTCATTGGCAGTCGAATTTATGTAATACGTGTGCCTCTACACTCTTACCAAAAAATTTGTATAGAAATTTATTTATATGTGTAACGTATGCGTTTATATTGTAGTAATCGCTGGATATGTCATGGATTGCTTACTGCTCCAAATGAGGAAACTTTGCATGTTTATTTGTTAAATGATTATTTCATCATTTTTTTTGGTTATTTTGTGTATTTTTAGTTATTTATTTGTCTCTCTCAGTGGAGTTCTTGTTGTGATGCTTTGAATCACTGTAATGTATATGTTTGAGTAATAAGCCTGATTATTGTAGTGATGTAGAACCATGGCAGCATTATCACTTGTATCTAAGAAGCTACGTAATGTTTGAAATAATAATATCCCTCACGATAGGTTCTATTAAAGGAAACCATAGCATACTAGTTGATGGCTAATGAGCTGGTAGATAAATTTATTTGGTTTCAAACTCAATAGTGTAGGTTTCTGTGCAAATTGAGTTTTGAGAACACTTACAATTAAGTGATTGGTGTCTCTTGATTGTGTGTGCTTGTGTAGAGTCCAAAAATGTTGGAGTATTCAGTGCTTGGAAGCAAAGTAGCCGGTTTGAGGCATGCAGATTTGTTATTCGCATTCTCATCTTCTATTAACATATTTTTTTCTGCCTTTATTATTAGTGGAATTTATGTTCTCACCAGTTCTAAAAATAGCTGGATGTTCTCTCAGTTTGTTTGATGGATTTTATATGGTAGAAACAGTTCGTACGCTTTCCACTTGCCCATTAGAGTGTGTAGACCTACTAGAATATTGTTTTCGACCGTCTCTTGTTTGTATAATATGTTGGACTAGCCTAAGATTTCTTCTTGACAGGATCCAAAGTTGTGGATTGGTGATTTTCGAAGTTACCTTGACCATTGGGTAACCTTTATTAGAAAAGCAAGCTTGATGAGTTGATATAATTTTGCCCCTTATCATGATATGCCTAATGGGCTTATTGTGCCCTCAATACATGAAATCAAGTTCTCACACAACATTTTGTATCTCTTTTATAAATGTTTTTTTAGATCTTGGATTCGGGGGTGGCAAGTCGAAGTCCTTATACGGAAGACATAGTCATCTCGGCATTACTCTGGTTAAGTTTGCTGGTGACCAATCAGGCTTGAAGGATGTTGTGAGGCTTGTAGAATTCTTTGAGAAAGAAAACCATGGAATTGGACCCATGTATGAATGCATTCAAAGGTAAGTTTGATTTGATTTTTCTTATTTGATCAACAAAGAAAAAAAAGAATACCATTAATAGATTGGATTCAAAGAACAACCTAATGTAAGATTTATGTTTCTATTTTCTGTTTATTTTGTATAATGATTTGAAATTACATCTTGTGGAGTATTTGGTTCATTCAGTTGAAATAAAATGTAATGGAACAATTATTTTTTAGTCTGTCTATAGAATGATTTGTAATACATTTTTCAGAATTTCTTTATATGTTGTGTTTGGATCATAAATTTAGATAAATGTTTGTAAAGAAAAACATAAATAGGGAATAGGCACATAATATGGAGTATGTACATAAATAGAAATGCTTCTAGCTTAATCTATTGCTAATTAATTCTTTTGTTATGTACTTGTTATATTTTGGTTAATGGTATTACTTGAATGATTGCCTTCTCGATTTTTGATTATTTAATAAATCGAATACAATATACAATCAGACAATATGATACGATATACATATATAAGAACAAAATTTAAAAATAAAGAAAAAGAACTCATCTTGTATATACAGAAATTTCTTAAATAAGCATTATAGCTTTAATGCGACCTCGCGCGCGTAGCGCGTGGGGTCCAACTAGTATATTATAAATACTTGTAGTAATTAACATATTGGCTCACAACGTTTCAATATTCTAACAAGTAAAACATTATTTCGAGTAGAATTTACAATGGGAAACATGACCTATCTCCATTTTAATTATATTTGTTTCATTTATTTTACCTTCTATCTATGAAAAAGTATTTACGGAACAATTGCACAAACTTGGTGTACTTGCCTCTCTCACATAAGGGAAAATTATTAGATACTTTTATAATATCATGAGGTCATACTTTCTCATCAATCACCATTCATTATATTTTTTCATGTTTCTCAATCACCCAATACAAAATCAATCACCCCTCACATAAGTGAGTTGTAGCCTATTTGTATAGAGATGGACAAATATGTTGCTAATGTACCTGTTATATATAATAATTTTTTCCCTTGCATTTGGGTAATTGTTGGACTAATCCTCACATGGAAATTGAAATGTGAAACTAATAATATATGTATGATCACATGATATGTCACACCAATCATCAACTTTTTTTTTCCTTATAATACTCCTCATGGAGCGAGGAAGGTGGATTCCTGTGGTGAAGCAGAGGCAAGGCAGAGGAGCATGGAGCAAAAGTTCAACAAATGGTTTATTTACTGTGTTTGTGGACAATCTACCATACTCATTAGAACCTAAAGGTCTATTCAAATTTTTCACTAGGCCTCGTTTGGAAACAGGCTAATTTAGTAACTTTTTGGCTATTTTGCTAAAATATGAGCTAAAAAAAACTAGTATGTTTGGAATGACTTTTTGACTTTTTACGAAAAATATGAGCTAAAAAAAACTAGTATGTTTGGAATGACTTTTTGACTTTTTACGAAAAGATGTGCAAAAAGTAGAGAGAAAAGAGAATCTTTAACTTTTTGGTACGAGTTGTTGGCTTTTTGACTTTTTTAGTAACTTTTTGGCTCTTTGGCTAAACCGGCCTGTTGCCAAACGAGGCCAATAGTCAAGGATGTCTTTATCCCACAAAAGAGAAGGAAAGTAACAAGCACAAGGTTCGAATTTGTGAGATTCGATTGCTTAGTTGCATCAAGCATAGCAGTTCAGAAAGAAAATAGGTTATGGGTGGAGGATAAGTCACTCGAAGTCAAATATACTGAGTACGATAGAGAACAAAACAAAAGCAAACCTCAATCCAATCCCACCAGAAGAGATCCTTTAGATGAAAGAAGAGATGGAGTGCCCCACACCCAACATAATGGAGGAGATTACATCAGTAAATCCTTTCTTGATGCATTAAAAACAGGTGCAGGCACAACACAAGGTAAAACTCGCACTACTATTAAAGTAAATGAAAATGGCCATTGGTGGCTGTATGAAAGTGTACTACCAAGACTAAAAAATGAGTACACTTTATCCAACATTAAGAAAACACTAAAAGATAAATGGTTGGGCCATACTCTTGTTAGAAATGGAGGAGGGAGGGATGTAGCCATAACATTCAAGTCCAAAGAGGAGATGAAATCAAATTTCTGATTAGTAAATAAATGGCTGAAGGAGTGATGTGAATTTGTTACGAAATGGAAGCCAAACATGCACTTAGAACATGAGAAATGCTCATGGTTGAGGTGCTATGGCATCCCATTAAATCTCTGGAACAGAGAAATGTTTAACAAATTATGAGGAATTTGGGGAAAGGTCCTCAATATTGATGGAAATATCAGCCAACCAGTATCATTCTGCTATAACAGAGTTAGGATTGCAACTATATGTATAGAATGGATTAATAAAGAAATCAATCTGGAGTGCAAGGGTAGAATTGTTTTAGTCTTGGTCTGTGAAGAAGAATTTAATGCTGTGAGTGATCACGATCCATCCATTGCTATAGAGGAAGATTGCACCTCCAATAAGATTGCCAGAGAAAAGCATGAAAAACCTATAAGACTTGAGGAAGATGAATGTGAACTGGCAAAAAGAGTAGAAGTGGATGAAGTTGCGCTAGCATCTTTTGATGATGTGGCTCATGTTCAGAGGTTGGAACATATCTGTGGCAATGATGAGATGGACAAGGCAGTTAAAGATTCAAAAGAAGAGCACCACAATGGTAGAGATGTGGTGGATACGATAGTTGAAGAGACAAAAAATGTCATGGGGAGTAGCTTTGAGGATGATTCACGCATGGTTCCTAATAAAGAAAAAGGCAGCTAAACTCAGACAAGTTGCCAATAATGACAATCAAAGGTTAGAAAGCCAATTGTGCATGCCTGGATTTATTAGGAGCCTCAGTACATCTGTTGGGCTTAGGCTTGGCATAACTTTGGAGATTGAGTTGGGCAATATTCTCCATGAGCATGGCCCACTAGATACTAGTCTTAATAGAATTGTTATTATTAGCTTAGCCATTGATGGATCATTTGGGCCCATAAAAAACAAGTTAAACTCAAACAGATCCCATATTAAAGGTGCTCAACTTGGGAAGAGTAAGCCCAAATCTAAAGTCAAATTGAAAGGGAACAAGAAAGGAAAGTCTAAAGACCTCTCACAGTCTTAAATTATCTCCAACTATGTAAGACTTCACGGGCATAAAGAAGCCTCATCTAGTAAGCTTCCTTCAAAAAAGGCCATTTTTTAGAGCAGCTATTGCAGCTATGACACTTTTAGCTTCATCTGAGAATGGTGATAGAATGGGTAGATATGTCCTAAACGAAGCTCAAGCTACAATGGAGATGAGGAAAGTTCTAGGGCTCAATTTCAAAGGCAAGAAATCTGATACAATTGACAAATTTGTTAAATTAGAGCTCAAAGACAAAGAAAGAAATGGAGGAGAAGAAAGGGGAAGGCAGTAAAAAAATTCAAACTAGGTAAATTTTAGTATTCAACCCTTGTTATTAATGAAGCTACTGTCATGGAATATTAAAAAAAAAAGAGGAAACTAATTAGGGAGAGGTAAGTAGAAATAGCATTTTTTCAAGAAATAGAGAGAGAGAGAGAGAGAAAAAAAAAAAAACTAAAAAAAAAAGACCCTTCTATTTTGGAGGATGAAGTTAGATCCCTATGGTCAAGGAGAAGCATGGAGTATATGTCAGTTGATTCAGAAGGATCTGTTGGAGGCCCACTATGCATTTGGGACCCAAAGATCTTCAAGCTATATGGTTTCTGTAGCAATAGGAGATTCATTCTCTTCTCAGGTATACTTCTCAATTCTTTTGATTGTGTACTGCTGAATGTATATGCTCCTAATGATACTAGTGGTAGAAACATACTATGGGAAAGTCTTGTTAAGCTAAAGAGTATCTTTTCTAATCCATAGTATATGAGAGGAGATTTCAATGAGATAAGAACTATTGGGGGAAGGATTGGCTTCTCTAGAAGGGACAAAGGAATGAAAAAGCTTAATGAATTCATAGATAAATATGAATTAACTAACTTACCATTGCTTGGAAGGAAATGCACCTGATATAACGCACAAGAAAATGAGAAGTGGAGTAGGATTGACAAAATTATGCTCAGTTCTAAATGGTTAATCAATTTCAAACTAAAGTAATGGGGCTTACCTAGATTGCTCTCTGATCACTGCCCTCTTTTGATAAGGGAGGATGAGAGGTATTGGGCCCCAAAACCATTCAGGTTTATCAATACTTGGACTTTACACCCCAATTTCCCATCTTTTATGGAAAACACGTGGAAGGAAACTACGGTCAATGGTAGACCTGGGCATACTCTTTTGCAAAAGCTAAAGTTACTGAAGCTAGCTCTCAAGAAGTGGAATTGTGAAGTATTTGGTAATATCTCAATTAAACTAAAAGCAGCTGAGGTAGAATTACATGATCTAGACATATCTGCTAAAGAAAGACCATTGATTGAATTAGAAAGCGATAGAAGAAGGGTATTGAAATGTGAAGTTCGGAAGCTAAACAAAATGATAGAATGGTTATGGCAGCAGAAATCTAAAGTTAACTGGACCTTTAACGGGGACAAAAACACTAGATTTTTCTATAAAATGGCCAGCTGTAGGCAAACAAAAATGTCATCAATTATATCTTTGTAAATGGAGTGATTCATGAAGAACCTGATAAGATCAAGTAGGAGGATTTTTTACACTTTAAGAAACAGTTCACAGAAGACTGGGCAAATAGGCCATCCTTGGGTGTGTGTTCAAATCAGTGCAAGTGAGCCATTCTTTGGCATCTTTGATGATTAATGGATTTTCTATGATTTGCCAAATTTGGACTTTCATTCATTTTTCTGTTTTACATTGCACTTGTGAAACCAGATTCAGAATCACAGGAGTCCGAATTGTAGGGCCATTGCATCCGAGGAGACTAAACCCTTCTGAGGAGTGCGAAAAACCAGCTACAATTTGATTTCATGCTTTTTTTATTTTTTTGAAAAGAGTTTGGAATATGTGCAACTCAGAGGAAAAACAAGCTCATATGTATAATAATCAAAATCATTCCAATCTAAGCAAAATAGCCTCCATCCACAAGTATTTATAAAGATATTTCAAGTAAGCGAGTAGCCTTATGGTATGCTCAACATGACAACACAAACACATATATGACATGCTAAAGCACAAATGTTTTCCTAGTACACTCAA